GATTTATTGTAGAGATGAGGTCTCACCAAGTTGCCCAGGCGGGTCTTGAACCCGCAGGCTCAGGCAGTCCACTCACCTTAGCCTCCCAAAGCGTGGGATTCCAGGCTGAGCCACCGAGCCTGGCTCCAAATACTTTTAATGTGTTAATTTGTTTAATCCTCCCAATGACCCATCACTCCAGCTTTACAGAGGGGAAACTGAGGTAGGGGCTAAGTAACTTTCCCAAGGATACATAGGAAGAGGCAGAATTGGTATCTGAGCCCAGACAGTTGGGCTTCTCTGTACTTAGCCATATGGGTAGGATTCATTTTCAAGGCACGTTATCAATAGACAGGCAATAGGCATGAACTCCAGATCAAGGAAGGATGTTTAGGATGTGAGATTTAAGCAAACCCACTACTTTGTTTTAAATTACATTATCAATTAAAAATCTCAGAACTGGTGGTAATCTTGCCACATTCTATTTCTCTTCTTCCTTTGGGTCCTAACCCCCACTCTGTATCCACCACCCAACACACACACACACACACACACACACACACACACACGAGTGCTCACACACACATGCACCTTGCTCCTTTATAATAACCACTGATTCTTCTTTAGAAAAATCACTGTTGGGATTCTACCATTAGACCTCCCTGTTGGGTACTAGAATTGCAGGAAAGGAGGAAGGGCCAGACCTGGAGAGCGCTGACCATAACAGTTCCCTGTCAGAGCTGCCTGGGGGTACACTGGGGAAGGAAGGAAGGAAGGGGGTTTCAGAAGACAATTTTTTTCTTCTGTATGTTTCCTGGGCATTATGAAGGCAGAAGAAATGTGCAGAGCTGCCACTTTCAGTGAGAAGGTGACACCACACTTCTTAGGACTGTGATCATGGGGGATGGGATTCGCTAATTCCCGGGCCCCCCCCCCCATTTCATTCAGAGCTCCCGCAGGGACGGATACCTAGGAAGGACATGCCTTGTGCAGACAGCTGCTTGATGAGGAGTGTCTTGCTCTGGCTTCCAACAACAAATGGAGAGTTACAATGAAGCCAACGTATTCAGGTAGTTTTCCCTTCTCCACCGTAAACTAAAACGTCACGTTTCTCAGACACATACTTCTTCCTCGGCTCCAACAACCCCAAAGCACAACGGAAGGTTGCTCAGATCCAGAGTACCAATCGTGGATTCCCGTACTCTGGCTTACCTCCTCATCTCTGTTTCTTTAAAAGAAAAGTTGAGAGGATTTTTAAAACAGAGTTAAAATGGCATGTGCTTAATTAAAAACTCAAGCAATCAGCCGGGCTCGGTGGCTCAGCCTGGAATCCCGTGCTTTGGGAGGCTGAGGTGAGTGGATGGCCTGAGCCTGTGGGTTCGAGACCCGCCCAGGCAGCTTGGCGAGACCTCATCTCTACAATAAAAATCAAAAAATCAGCTGGGCGTGGTAGCGTGCGCCTATAATTCCGGCTACTCGGAAGGCTGAGGCGGAAGGATCACCGGAGACCAGCAGGTCGAGGCTGCGGTGGCCGGGAGCGGCCACTGCACTCCAGTCTGGGTGACAGAGTGAGACTCCAGCTCAAAAAAAACTCAAGCAATCATGAAAGCCACAAATCACCTGTGTCTTTTCAGTATCCAGTGAACATTATTTCAGACATCTCTCTGTACATATATATGGATTAGAAGCCATGGCGGGTAAGTGGAGTAAATAAAGACCAGGTACAGTGGCTCACGCCTGCAATCCCAGCACTTTGAGGGACTGTGGCAGGAGGATTGCTGAAGGCCAGGTGTCTGAGAGCAGTCTGGGCAACATAGTAGGATCCCGTCTCTACAAAAAATAGATTAGCCGGGCGTGGTGGCACACAGTTGAAGTCCTAGCTACTCAGGAGACTAAGGTGGGAGGATCGCTTGATCCCAGGAGTTTGAGGCTGCAGTGAGCTGTGATAGGGTCACTGTGCTCCACCCTGGGCAACAGAGAAAGATGCTGTCTCTACAAATACAAATAAATAAATAAAGTAAATAAAAATAATATAATCTGAAAGAGATTATAGTATGCACTTTTGGGGGAGACATAACATCAATAAGGGTATGTGATCTCAAACCAGGCAAAGTGGGAACCAACGGGAGGCTAATCCTGAACTGTACCCTGCATCTTTAAAATAAAAAATAACTAGCGGGGCTTGGTGATATGCGTCTGTAGTTCCAGCTACTTGGAAGGCTGAGGCAGAAGGATCGCTTAAGCCCAGCATGTTGAGGCTGCGGTGGCCGTGAACATGCCACTGCCCTCCAGCCTGGGCAACAAAAGTGAGACTCCAACTCAAAATAATAATAATAATAATAATAATAATATAGCATGCACTGCTGTATTCCTGTCCATTGAACAGCTCATGGGAAGCACTAGTGAACCGGTGAATGAATGATCACCAGCCTACTGTGTGCTCTGCAGCACCCCAGGCTCCTGACTGTGTCTAACACCCTCCCGCCTCCTATCCCTGCCTGACCAGGTCACCCTAGCCTAACAAGGTTTACATCTAATTTCTTAGCTTCTTGGAGAGCGGGGAAGGCTAGTAAGGATGGCTATATTTGAATAGAGAAGCCACCTCTGATCTTTAACATCATGCGACATTCTTACACGAATGGGATCGATCCCCCTTGCTCTTCAGTCACACTTTGCAGACATCTGGGAAGGCAGCTCAGCCAGCTCCCTCCTGTCTTGTAAAGGACAGTGGAGAGGAAGGCAAGTCAGCTGCAAATGCAAGAGGTCCAGGCTCAGTATTCCACCTCAGGGTTGATCCCCCACCTCCCTTGGATCAGCCCCCTCTGGCACCCTGGATACTCCCCACGGTATGCACCGAAGGATATCACCCTCACTCTGCAGTTACAGGCACAAGCAGAACCCGGCTCAGTTCCCAAACTGCTGGATCTTAGCCAGCACCTACTTTGTACTTCTCTGAATGCCTTGAGATGGAAGCCCTAGGGAGTCTTTATCTGTTGACGGAGCAGCACAAAGTGAACAAATGATGCCTTATCTTTTTAAGACAGAGGGGGCAATTTCAGGTCAGGCCAGATTAAAGCCTGAGCTTCACTCACAGGCTGTCTGGTGCTACAGAGGCGTGGGCCTCACTTCTGGGCTTTTCCTTGTAGAGGAAGGAGGATGTCCCGGCTTTCTCAGAGTGTCCTGCAATCACTGTTCACTGGCACGTGGAAATGCACACACTGGCATGACAGCAATGTCGACAAGAAGAGTCACCATGGTATTCCACAGGAGAACATTCAACTCAGCTTACGTTCATCCCATCTTCTCCACCCCATGGTATACTTTCCTTCACATTCAAGTGACTTTTCATCTGTTCATCAGGGAAGGGTCTCTTCTCCTTCTAAATCCTTCCTCATATTAACAGAACCTTTGAAAAAGTAGTTGGATATACTTCCCTGAGACCTTAAGATATTCAATTTCATAATAGCAGGAACTGCAAACTGCAGACTATTTGACTATTAAACCTTTTCCTGGGAATCACTTGAAAAAAATAATTGAAGCAGTGGATGTTTATTTTGAGGGATCAAATCGTATATAAACCTTAAAATGCATGGGTTTGAGACCAGCCCTGGCAACTTGGCAAGATCTCATCTCTACAATAAATCAAAAATTAGCCGGGTGTGGTAATGCGCGCCTGTAGTTGGAAGGCTGAGGCGGAAAGATCACCGGAGTCCAGCAGGTCAACGCTGGGGTGGCCATGAGTGTGCCACTGCACTCCAGCCTGGGCGACGGAGTGAGAATCCAACTCAACAACAACAAAAAATTAAAATGGTTTTTTGCTCTCAGTCTTTCCAAAGCTACTGCTCAGATGTAATTGTCCTTCTGCACACAGCATCTGTGTTTATGGTCTCTTTGTTCATTTAAATAGGTGATTATATACAATACATCTTACTAGGAAACTTTTGTTTCCCCAAGCCATCTTTTTCTAGCAGTTCATATACCTCTATTTCATTCTCTGTAAATGCTGCAGGGTAATCCAGAGTTTGGATGCATCTTAAATCACTGTAGTCCCCTAATGTTGAAAATTAAGAATTTTTAAAAACCTTATTATTATTATTATAAACACCCTATGATATATCTATCCCATGGGTTATATTTCCAGGAGTCCAATCAGGAATAAAGGACATATGCATTTGAAGGATAACAGATCTGGCCAAACGTCCCTGTAGAGAAAAGTTTTCTCCAATCTAGATTCACATCAAAAATAGTAACAGTAACTGTTTTCCCTATTCCTTTCCCATCTCTGGGTGTTAGTAGATTTTAAATTTTAGCTGATCTCAAAAAAAAAATTCATGTGCTCATTCTATTTATTTAATTATGAGTGAGTCATTTTCTATTTTGATGTGTGTGGCCGACTGAATGTCATCTATTGACTGTCTCTATCACTTTGTGCCCATTTTTATCATGTTTTATCTTTTTCCATTGATTTATAGATCCCAATTAGCCCTTTGTCTCTAAAACCATCCCCATTTTGTCTACTTTTGTAGTGCAGAAACTTAACATTTTGTTTGATCTGATATTAACATTTTTCTTCATTGCTACTGGGTTTGTGTAATGTTTGAAAGTCTTTACAAGTACTATATAAGAAATATGTTAACATGATAATTTTTTTGTGGTTTTAATTTTATATTTAAAGCTTTTTTAATGTTTGTTTGTTTTGAGTTGGAGTCTCACTCTGTCGCCCAGACTGGAGTGCAGTAGCTGCTCCCGGCCACCACAGCCTCGACCTGCTGGGCTGTGGCGATCCTTCCGCCTCAGCCTTCCAAGTAGCCAGAACTACAGGTGTGCGCTACCACGCCCAGCTGATTTTTTGACTTGTTGTAGAGATGAGGTCTCGCTGCCCAGGCGGGTCTCGAACCCGCGAGCTCAGTCAATCCACTCACCTCAGTCTCCCAAAGGCATGGGATTACAGGCTGAGCCACCAAGCCCGGCTTAAAGCTTTAATAGGTCTGGAAGATTTTTAATTTAAACAGTAAACTAGAGGTCTCTTCTGCACCAACACTTTTGGCTACTTTGTATCTAAAAAAATTTAATGAGTAGCCTATCTGTTCCCCCAGATTATAATGTCATCTTCATCATGGACTAAATTCTCTTTTACTTCTAAAATCTGAAACTTTTATTCTGCTTCATCACTTCGATGTGACCATCACCCTTTCAAATTTATCATTGTTCATTTTATTTGTTTACGTAAGCTTTATTGTGTATCCTTAAGGTATACAACTTGATGTTATGAGATACATATAGATCATAAAAAAGGTTATTATAGTGAAGCAAATGAATGTATCTAACATCTCACAAAGCTACCCCTTCTTTTTTTATGGCAAGAGCAGCTAAAATCTACTCACTTGCTATGAATCCCAAATACAGTACAATTTTATCACCTATATTCTGGTCCCTGCGTTGTGCATTAGATCTCTAGACTTGCTCATCCTGCAAATCTGCCACTTGGTATCCTCTGATCCACATCTCTGCATTCCTCCCCACCCCTAGTTTTGTTCTCTATTTCTGTATACCTGTATCTGAATTTTTTTGAGAGTCCACATATGAGTAAGATCATGAAATATTTTTCTTTCTGTGTCTACCTTACTTCCCTTCGCATAATGTCGTCTGGGTTCCTCCACATTGGAGCAAAAGGCAAGAGCTCCTTCTTTTTTAGGGCTGGGTAAAAAATATATATATAGTAAATAAAGATATAGATAGATACCTTTATCCGTTCATCCTTTAATAGACGCTTAAGTTGCTTCTATATCTTACCTCTAGTAAATAGTGCTGCGGTGAACATGAGACTGCAGATACCTTTACAAGGTAGTGATCTCATTTCTTTGGGCATATGCCCTAAAGAGGGGTTGCTGGGTCATGTGGTGGTTCTATTTTCAATTTCTTTAGAAACTGCCACACTGTTTTCTACAATGGTTGTGCATTCTCACCAACAGTGTACGTAGGTTCTCTGTTTTCCACATCCTCATCAACATTTGTTATTTTTTGCCTTTTTGGTAAGAGCTGTCCTAATGTGTACGAGGTGATATTTCGTGGTGGTTTTAATTTGCATTTCCCTGATGATGAAGGGTGTTGGACATCTTTTCAAAGCCCTGCTGGCCATTTTTCTTCTTTGGAGAAATGTCTGTTCAGGTTTTTGCCCATTTTTAATTGGGTTATTTGTTTTTCTGCTCAGTTGCATGAGTTCTTTATAAATTTTACATATCTTACCAGATACATGGTTTTCTATTTTTTTCCCAATCCACAGACTGCCTTTTCATTTTGCTGATTTTTTTTTCTCTGCTGTGCAGAAGCTTTTTCGCTTTACATACTCCCATTCATTTATTTTTGCTTTTGTGGCCTAATATTTCACTGTACCAAAATAGCATTGCTTAATGCCAATGTTATCACATATTAGCCGGGAGAGACAATCTACTGTCATTACTTTTGCTCATAATTTTTCTTATCTGTCTCAAGTTTATTTTTTAGTTGAGGATTAGTACCATTTTATCAAGTTAAAAAATTGTATAGTGATTAATTTAGGGAGAATTGACATCTTTACAATATTTAGTCTTCCGATCCAAGGCGCAGTCTTTTTTTTAACACTTTTTTTTACTTTGATAAGTTTGGCTTAAATTTTTTAAATGTAGCTTGTATTAGTTTACTAAATTATACATCTATTCTTAGTAAAACAATTATTATTGTTTTAATTATTATTTGTATACATGAAAGTTATATTTAAATTTTTCCTTTCCCTTTACAGAATTTTATATTACTGTGTTTAATGTTTCATTACTATTTGGTTCTGATGGTTTCTCTGGGTGTACAATTATCACTTACAAGTGATGGTACTTTGAGTGTTCCTGTAAATATTATCTATTATATATTATTTAATTTTCTTATACAATTGTACTGACCACCAGTTCTAAAACACTGTGAAATAAGACTGGCAGTCATCAATGTCTTTTTCATGTTCCTAGCTTTAGTGGGAATGTCTCTATGTCTTCACCATTAGGTATCTATTAGCTTTTATTTATGTGTGTGGGATAAATGCAGGACATGTGTCTCACTCCTCTGCTGATAACTGTTTTCTGACTGGAAGGATGACCCCTGGTCCACGTGGAAGGATGACCCCTGGTCCTATGTGTGGTCACATGTATATAAAATTATGGCCCAGTAACACCTGTCTAATTGTAATAATTAATTAAATATTTAAGAATAGATGCTGAATGTTTTTGTTCTATCCCAATTGCCTACGATTTCCAGAAACACACCTGTAGTCTAGCAAAAATTAGGCTTACTGATCCATTGCATTGAGACAGACCACAGCTCAGAGGAACCTTGGGACATCTCACCAAAGGACAAGATGGAGTCATTATAGGATTTGGGGTCAACGTGGAGTTTAAGTGAATACAAATAAGGCAGGGTGTTGACAGCTCAGAGCAAAGCAGGGCTATGTGTATAAGGGTGCACATCAGGTCTAGACTGCAAGGTGGACCAGAGTCCTGTTTCCTCGGACACTAGAAAGTTCACAGAAGTGTGAAATGTGGTGTCTACCCCATGTGAGCATCAATTGAGGCTGTGGTAGGAGTTGGGAGAAGAAAGGAGCCAACTCAAATTATTCTACAAAGAAGACACCTGCACACGTATGTTTGTTGCAGCTCTATTCACAATAGCAAAAACATGGAACCAATGATGTTGCCCATCGAAGCTGGATTGGATAAAAAAAATATGGTACATATACACAATGGAATCTTATGCAGCCATAAAAGGACAAACATGGACTTCGCAGCAACCTGGATGGATTTGGAATTGATCATACTCAGTGATTTATCACAGAAACAAAGAACAGAGTTCCATATCTTCTCACTCATAATAGGACCTTGAACAATTATAATGCTATAAGAAAGCGATTGGCAGTAATGGGAAACTGTCGGTGGGGGGGGATTGGCAGTTGAGGGAAACTGCTAGGGGAGGGAGGGGCAGACCTCATCAACAGGAGTACCTGCATGATCAATGTTTGTATACCTAACCCCGAATTGTACCCACATCTTTATAATAAAAATTAAAAAAAAGAAAGAAAGCAAAATCAACAGAACTCGGAAACCTTGGGTGTAGAAGGAGGGAAAACAGTAACTGGGAATTTGCCACCTCTGTCTGTGTCTTGAGTGACAGGGGAGAAGACCGTATCTTCAGCTGATGGGGAGTATACCATAACAGTTGGTTTTAAAAGCAAGAAAGGGAAGGGCAGGCTGATCGCCTCAGTTATTGACCTGTTGGGTTTCCAGTTGCAGAAAGGCTCTGCAGGACAGATCCCCAGATGGCAGGAGGCTGGGGTCACAACTGCAGATAGAGATGCCTCGGCGTCATTGACATCGTGGAAGGGGGGTTTGCAAAGTGAGGGGAGCACTGGATCAAAAGGAGAGCTCAGGGAAATTTCCTTAAAGTTTAGGGGCTGGCAGGATGAGCCCACAGCGAAGCCCACAGATGAACAGAGAGAGGGGTACCATTCGCAGCAGAGATTGCAAAGAGCTGCCTTGTCAGAGAAGCCAAAGGAAAGAATTCCAGGGAGGAGTCAGCAGGATCAAGCGCAGGAAACAGGCTCAGAAATGAAAGAACTGAATGGGCTTAACAGTTGGTGGGTAGGTGGTGACTTTTGCCAGGGTAGCTTTATGGAGGCAGGCAGGACGGAAGACTAAACCCTATGTGCTCAGCCAATAAGCAATAAGTGAGACATGGTAGGGTGAGCCTCTACCTCCCAGGAGGGCTGGGAAGGCTAGGAGGCAGGGCAGTCACTGCTGTGGCAGCAGGCTCAAGGGATGATTTTTAGCAAAGACGTTTCAGTGTTTCACTTTTTCTGACCAGTTAGAGTCAGGGCCTCAACTGCCAGATGGAAGTCATTAAACCTATCAGAATGCAGCTTAGTCTTCTGTCGTTGTTGTGTACTCACATGTGCACTTGGTCTCTGAAACTCACTCTGCATCCTCCTCCCTGCCACACACACACACACACACACACACACACACACACACACACAACCATATACATTTGATCCTATTTTGATGACCATGAAGACTCTGGCCGGGCGCCGTGGCTCAAGTCTGTCATCCCAACACTTTGGGAGGCCGAGGGAAGAGGATTTCCTGAGTCCAGGGGTTCGAGACCAGCCTGGGCAACTTGGTGAGACCTCCTCTCTACAATAAATCAAAAAATTAGCTGGGTGTGACAGTACACACCTGTGGTTCAGTTGCTTGGAAGGCCGAGGCGGAAGGATTACCTGAGCCTAGCAGGTCAAAGCTGTGGTGGCCGTGAACGTGTCCCTGCACTCCAGCCTGAGTGACAGAGTGAGACTCCAACTAGAAAGAAAGAGAGAGAGAAAGAAAGAAAGAGAGAGAGAGAGAGAGAGAGAGAGAGAAAAGGCCAGGCTCGGTGGCTCAGCCTATAATCCCAGCGCTTTGGGAGGCCAAGGTGAGCGGATTGCCTGAGCCCGTGGGTTCGAGACCCGCCCGGGCAACTTGGCGAGACCTCATCTCTACAATAAGTCAAAAAATTAGCCGGGCGTGGTAGCACGCTCCTGTAGTTCCAGCTACTTGGAAGGCTGAGGCAGAAGGATCACTGGAGCCCAGCAGGTTGAGGCTGCGGTGGCCGGGAGCGGCCACTGCACTCCAGTCTGGGCAACAGCGTGAGACTCCAACTCAAAAAAAAAGAAGAAAAGAAATAAAGGAGGGAGGGAGGGAGAGAGAGAGAGAAAGAAAGAGAAAATAAGAAAGACAATAAGAAAGGAAAGAAAAAGAAGGAAAGGAAGAGAAAGAAAACCAGTAAGAAAGAAAGGAAAATAAGAATGAAAGAAAATGAAAGAAAGAAAGGAAGGAAGGAAGGAAGGAAGGAAGGAAGAAAGAAAGAAAGAAGGAAAGAAAGAAAAAGAAAAAGAAAATAAGAATGAAAGAAAATAAAAGGAAGGAAGGGAGAGAGAGAGAGAGAGAGAGGGAAAGAAAGAAAGAAAGAAAGAAAGAAAGAAAGAAAGAAAGAAAGAAAGAAAGAAAGAAAGAAAGAAAGAAAGAAAGAAAGAAAGAAAGAAAGAAAGAAAGAAAGAATCCTCCTTGGACTGTCCCCAGAAGGTATGGCTGTGGCACCACACAAGGCCATGGGGAGACCAGACAAATCTTGAGCCCAAAAGGAAGAGCATATTTGCATAGGTGTTTAGTCAGAGAATATAAAGAAATCCTTCTGTTGGGAATATTTAGGAAGCAATGGAGTTTTTGAAATATAAAATCATAACTATTTTTATTGTGTGTTCTTCCCACTTGGAAACTCAGAGTTGTGAAAACGTGGTTAGCACAAACCCCTCAGGTTCACGAGACCAGGGGACGCCCACAGGCCACCTGAGCTCCCATCTCCATCCGCATGCAGCCCCGCCTCGTGGATTTTAGGATCTGTGGAAGGTGCAGGCTTCCAGGAGTCCTGTGGAGCAGAGCAGAGAGGCAGGTCGTCGAGATCTCCCTGTGCTTATTTCAGAACTGTTGCGTGAGCAGCTAAGCCTAGGACCAAGGTGCTCGAACCCGCTGTTCTGCTCTTCTGCTGATGTGTGCGGACTGAGTCTGTCCCCATGTCCTTCTCCATTCACCAGCATATTTCCTGTACCTACCCTGGGGAGTACTCCTCACCAACGCTTGTAGCGCGATCCCCCCGCCCTGTAGCACCCCCCACCTTGTTTCTTATGGGTGAGGCTCACACGCCTGCATTCATGTTGCTGGAAGTCCCTTGGGAAGCCTGCCCCCTCCACCCGTCCGCCAACCTCTTTAAGCAGGTGAGGGACTGACATCGCAAAAAACACCTGGAACGAGCCCGTTTCTGTGCTGGGGGTTAGGGATGGAGGAGAGAACTGCAGAGACAGCACGTCTTCCCTTGTGGAGGACACAGTCGGATAGGTAGATACCAACGTGGTTCTCACGACAGTGGTCCTGGGCAAGCCTGTTGCTCACATCAGGATTACATGGGAGCAATTTTTCAAACAATTCTGCATGACCAATAAGTTCACTGCCTTAGTGCCCTGAGCCTGTGTCCCCGTCATCGTCTGCCCGTATGAGCTGGCCTATCAGACATGCTGGGCTTAGGCCCTCACCATCTCATCCTCTCATCCGCGTGGTCCCATGTCAGGGCCACGGTCTACGCCTCCTTTCACACCCACCATCCCAGAACCCACCGCCATTTTGGTCTGTCACTTCCCCACGCCGTCCTTTCTACTCACGTGAGGTTGAGCATTTTTTCATGTTTTCAACAGCTGTGACGTATTCTTCTCCCAAGTATTTTTCATATGTGTTTTTGTCTTTAAGTTCGGCCAAACATACTGTGTCGTCTCTGAACAGAAGGTCCTTGGTTTCAGATTGGAACAAACAAAACTTCTTCGAGCAGTCAGTTACATTTCCGAACTCAGCCTGTCAAACGGACAGAATGTGGATGAGGCCCTGAAGTCCTGAGCAGCTGGAACCCAGGGTCAGAGGGGGCCGAAAGCTGAGTCGGCCCTGGGAAAAGAGGGAAGCTACAGAGTCTCCGTGGGCAGTTTTCACCTGCTGTTGCCTGTTTGGACTTCATGCTTTCATGATGCCCCAGAATCATCTATAAGGGACCCCGGTCCCACCTTTCTCTGAGAAGTTTCCGCACCCACCACCCACTCCTGCCTTCTCTGGTCTCTCTCCCTGCTTCATTGCCCACGCCCCTTGGGGGCAACAGGAAATGAGAGGACAGTAACATGCCCTTTTCGATACCATTGTCAAATAATATCAAAGGAGCGGTGGCAGTTGTTGTTAAGTCCCTGTGGCACTGCGCTGTGAGTCTTATCTCGGGCAACCCACTCAGCTTCCCAGGCCTCCTAAGGTTGTAAGCGAAACGATTGCAAAACGTTTGGCATTCCACACAGCAGCTAGGAAATGTTCACTAAATGTTCATTATCGTCATCGATTGCCTTCAAAGGGCTTCTCAAGACAAGCTATCCTATTTTTTTAAGGTAATGGTGAATCTGCAGGCATGAAGACTGGATCTCCAAGCAGGGAGGTTATGCGTGGAGGGGCCTTTGGGATGAGATGGGTGAGCCTCTCTCCACAAGGCTGGCCCTGCAGTGGCTGCTTCCCCTAGGGGCAGGCTCCCCAAGGGCAGGTCCCGAGTTGCTCAGGCTGTTGAGAACAGTGCTCAGTGTGCCTGGCAAGAGAAACAGAAATCCTTTCTTCATGACTTTTGCCAAGGAATGCTGGGAAATAAGATGTCTCCTTCATTTTGCAGAAGGACACAAGTGTGGGAAAGGAAAGGACCCCTGAGCCAGGTTGGGGGGTAGGAATGCAGATCCCCCCATCCTGATGGCATGTGGATCAGCGGGGGACTTATCTCCAATGACCAGGAGCCAGAGGCAGAGCCAGACCTCACGGATCCAGTTTCATAATTGCACAGCTGGCACGTTTTGAGCACTTCGTGTAGACCATTTTCCTCTACTCATTGGGACTATTTCTTCACTTAATTCTTATGTCAACTGAGAAGTAGGTAAAAGAATTATTATTCCGTTTCATATAATAGGAAACAGAGGCATATACCCAAGACGGTACAGCTAGGAAGCTGCCAAGCTGAGACTTGAACCCAGATATTCTAGTCCACAATGAATGACCTCCTAATTCAAGTTTTCAGAAAGAAAATGCTAGCGTCAGGGTTACGCTTCACTGTGAGCTCCCTCAAATAACCCACATCCATCTAGGAAGAAAGGGTGGAGGCCCTGGCTGGTCCGTACCTGCTGTTTCTCTAACATCTCGAATACACACTTTGCCTTGTCTTTTCGTGAGACCACAGCATGATTTGGGGCTTTGGCCAAGTAGCAACTCTGAGCCTCAGTCACAGGCTTCCTGCTACCATCGGGGCACAGCAACTCAAAGTTTTCTTGCATCAGATCTTTAGCCCATGCATCAGGGTTTTTTCCTGGGGAGAGAGAGAAGGTGGATCAGCCACAGCTGATGGCTTAGGTCAAGGTGCCCTCACTGGGGGTCGTGACTGACCCACTGGTATGCGGAGGACCTGGGGTCTTTGGCCGGTTAGAAGTGCCTACTATGCCGGGGTTACCACAATGCTGGGAATACAGTGATATGAAGAGGAACAGACACCCACGTGGTCTACAGGGTGATACTCGACTCATACGTACCAGGAGTTACTAGAAATCACCCCCTGCCAGCCTTCCCTACCCAGCCAGGTGAGGGTGAACTACATTCTGTGGATGCTGTTCAAAAAGATCTTCATTTCGATGGAATTCCAGAAGCTTCTGTGCCTCTTACTCCAGCACAGGAAGAACACAATGCTCTCACCAGGCCTATCAGTCTCTGTGCTACATCATATGGCATCTCCAAACAAAAGGACTTTTCCCCAGAGGACACTTGGGTATCTGCTCCAGCATTTACAGCCTGCCTCCGTGGTGCCTGTTCCAAGGGAAACCGTGCACAGGCCTGCGGGGCACAGGGCCGGATTCCGCCTCAGGTTGCCTGATCTTGTCTGCATTTCTGAAAACAATCTCCCCCACTCTCAGGGTCGCAGCTCCTTCCTCCTGAGGTGCTTCTCCAATAGGCTTTGCTGACTTTCATTTCTCTCCCAGAATACAGGACTGCACTCTTTTTTCTTTTTCCATTTTTCATTTAATTTCTTTCTCTAATTCACCAAGCAATGCATGCGATCACACTCATAACTTTCTGAGTGTCTCTATAGATGGACTAAAGTCTCCCTGGCTACACTCCCACAGTCTCCCTCGGTTCTGTTGTGCTAATTCTTAGCATCAATGTGCGTATATCTCCATCCATGCCTTGTTATATGCATTTACCTTCTGTGTGTCTATATACATATTGCACGTTTATGATTTTGCTTCATGTTGGATTTTGGCAAATGCAAAACACTAGCTTTTTTTCCCCAACGACTTACACACCCTGTAGATTCTTCTTGTCAGTATGTATAAGTAGAACTCCTCCTTCCTCTCCCTCCTCTTTTGGAGACTTGGGTCTTGCACTGACACCCAGGTTGGAGTGCAGTGGCACCATCATAACTCGCTGTAGCCTTGAACTCCTGGGTTCAAGCAATCCTCTTGCCTCAGTCTCCAAAGTAGCTAGGAATGTACCACCAGGCCTGGCAATTTTTTTTTTTTTAAATTTTTTGTAGAGATGGAGTCTCCCTAGGTTGCCCAGGCTGGTCTCCAACTTTTGACCTCAACTGATCCTGGAATTACCACACCCTGCTCTCATTCTTCTTAACAACTGTATCATATTCCACAGCATGGCTATAACATGTTTTTGGTTTTTTTTTTATTCTTAAGAGGATAGAAAAGCTCCCAGAGTAGGAGCTCTGAGGGGGTTGCCCTATACCATGGCATTTTAAAAACGATTCCTCCATTAATGGGCATTTAGAGTGTTTAGACGACAGAGTGAGACTCTGTCACAAAAAAAAAACAAGATGAGTATGATTGCATATGATTGTGCTTAAGTAAAAGCAGAATCGCTATTTCAAAGGATACAGACATGTTCATTTTAATGGAACTAAATGGTCTGCCCTTCCCCCACCAAGTAACACACACACCTTTGATTGCCTTCCAACAGTTCCCCTTCCCTTTCTTGCCCGTTTCTCAAGCTCCCACCTTGCAAATGGAATCTATCATCTTTCCTTCCAAACCCATCTTCGTCTATTTAGTTCTTTAAACATTTATCGAACAATACTATGTTCTTGGCCCTCTGTGAGACACAACGTTGCTGGAGGAAAAAAATAACAACACCGATAAGCAAAAATTTAGGGCTGGGATAATAATATTTTATACTTTGTAAAACACACTCTAAAAGCTGAGCAGACTCAGGACGAGGGCTTTGAGAGCACAGGAATTAGGGAAGCTGGCTGGAGGAGGCAAGGTTTGGCTTGTGTCTTATAATATGTGTAGGATGACACATATCTTGGTGGCAGAGAAGGGTGCCAGACTCAAGGACAGGTAGTGCCTGGGATTTCTAATGAGGAGAGGAGACTGGCTCTGAACAGCCTTGGGCAGTGTGTTGAACAGATGCCACATTGCCAGGCGCAAAGGGCCTTGAGGGAGGACAAGGAGTGAAGAATTCAGGCAGGAGGAAGTGCAGTGGCACCGTCATAACTCACTGCACTCTCAAACTCCTGGGGAGGACTGGTAGGCAGTATAACAAGATTAAGGAGTGAGATAGAGGGATAGAGGCTCTGGAACGAGGAGGGAACTTTGAGAGAAAGACGAGGAATTTGGATTTATGCAAGATGAATCTGCAATGCCAGCATGCTCCAAACATCACAGGGACACCCTGGCAAGTAGAGCGGCTGGAACAGAATTTAGATGGGAGGCCCTAAATTCTATTCAGGAGCTAAAAAATACTGGACTCATTGCAGGGTGTGGAGAGTCAAGGCCTAGAGACGGGAATCCTACTCAGAAAAATACAAAAAGAAATCAAGGGTGACAAAGAACCAGGCTTCGGGTAACACTCTGGCAGCAGGAAGAAGGCGAACCCTTAGAGGAAAAGTAAAAGTAATACACGGCAAGAAAGAAAAATCAGCCAGCCCAATATTCTTTCAAACAAATTCTTGGTGACGACTGTGTACCATATGCTATCCTGGGCACTGGGAATTCAGGAGGGTGAAAAAGCTCTGAGGGTTTCTGCAGCCAAAGTACAGGATGTGGCGAGTTCTATACTAATAGCAATATGGGCAGAAGACACTTGTCGTGAGATGGGATGTGCCATCTGGGAAGACTTCTTGGAGGAGGTGGTGCTGAGCTGGTTCATGCTAGATGAGTTGGCTAGGAAACACGGGTGGCTGGGGAAAGGAATTCCAGAAGGCAGGGAAGTCACTCACAGCCTCGCCTCCAAGGCGCTCTGCTCACACTCAGTGATGCTGAGGGGTTGGGTGTGAACTGCCAATGCTTATTTTGCTTGTTGTTAATATCATGGCTGTCTGTCACCCACAGGCTAACACCCATGTATGTTTGTTGCCTGAATCAACGATCAATATATGGGTCACCAGGTGATAGTTTTCAAACTTTGTCATTCCTTCTACATTCGCTAGTTAGCATTCTACAATGGAAATTTGTCTAGTCAGTATTGCCTTGCGGATTCTTATTTTATTCAATGGTCTGTTATTATTTAATTTAAGATCCCAAATTCCCAGTTCTGGAAGTGGGAGGTCCTGCAAAGTGACTCCTGCATGCTTTGACATGTCCCACCCCCCTGGAGCACCTCAGTGTGACGTTTTAGGCTCACCGTATAATTTTCCCATCCCCACTCTGAATCAGCTAGTTTTCCAAGGAATTCTGGTTCCTTCTAGTGAACCACAGTATTTACAAGTCAACATCTTGGTGCTCAGTCCTGCTGGTATGCCTTTGCAATGGACAGAGCCAGGAGACATGGAAAACGGCTGTCAAGGCCATGGACCGTGGGCGTGATGAGTATTCAATCCATGTAATGTAAAATGTCCCGATCTTGGCCACTGTACTGTGGGTATAAAAGTGAATGTTTCTTACTGAGAAACAGGCACTGAGGTATTTAGGGGAAAGGGGCCCAGGCCTGCCGCTGTGCAGGGGTGTGTGGGAGAGGGGTGAGGCCCTCTGGGAGCCCCATGGTCCTGATCATTCTGCCTGCCCAGGTAAACGTTCTCTCTTCACTGAACAGACAAGTTGAGAATTAGAGCTTTGGAGCCGACAGTGCTTGCAATACTTCCACAAAGGCATCCCTGAGTACAAGTGAATACTAGTGACCCGGTGACCCAGGGGAACAGAAGAGCATGTGAACATACCATTAGTGTTCTGCATGACAGTCTGCTCTTTCACAAAGGCCACATCTCCCTTCTCAACCAGACACCTGCAAAGGTCCAGAGAGGGAGAGAAGAGGTCAGAGGGACACGCCTGCCATTCAAGAGGCCACCTTGTAGATCTAGGCTGGCCATCTGATATGAGCAATTGTAACTTCCATTCTGTCACCAAGCAATGTAGGAAATAAAGAAAAGCAAGGTAAAAGGCTACGCAGGTATCCTACTGCTGTTTCACATACTAAATCATAATTTTTTGCACAGCTTCTCTGACAGATCACATCACTTTCCTAGCGTCCACACAGATAGTAGAGAATCAGTTTTCCAGAGAGGCAGTGCCTCCTCCAGCATGTGAAATGGGAATGAAAAACTTAATTCCTTCAGAGTCTTGTAAAATGTAAATGTCCATACAACATTGATGAGAGACTTGAACTCCACAAATTTAAGTTTGTGATGTCCTTCATTCCTTTGGGAAAAAAATTTTTTTAACATTTGTGGGGCATGGGGCATTTGCTTTTTTTTTTTTTGGAAATGCAGAAGGTATGGCAAAACCTGGAACAAAGGCACTTGACTCATATATTTCTGGGTGTGGGGTTTGAACTGTTAACATAGCTCTGAGCCCCTACAAGTTCCCAAGACGTTTCAGAAAAGAAATAATGAAATGAACTCTGTTTAGTATGGTTCTAATGTCAATTTTTAGTGTACTCCAATCCTGTGAAAATGCATACCACATGGATGATGAACCGGTGTGCACTTCAAAGTCTGCACGAGGCCCTGCTCTGATCTGGGTGGGTCAGACTTTTACACGATGGGCCCAATCCCACCAAGTTGCCCAGGCGGGTCTTGCACCTGTGAGCTCAGACAATCCTCTCACCTCAGTCTCCCAAAGTGCTGGGATTATAGGCGTGAGCCACCATGCCTGGCTGTTCTCAA